TAATAATAATAATAATAATAATAATTATTATTATTATTATTATTATTATTATTATTATTATTATGTTTGCTGAGGCCTTCTATGCTCTCTAAAGATTGAAGTCTTTAATTTTTTATAAATGTTTTCTAATGTCTGTTTGTATATGGTGCTGCCGCTCGACTTTGATATTAAACAGAGTGTATTATATAATATGTAAATAGTTGTTATCAACTATTATTATTATTATTATTATTATTATTATTATTATTATTATTATTATTATTATTATTGCTTCGTCTTTCTTTTAATGCAAGGGGCTACAGCATTAATTGTTCTACTCCTTGATAAAGTTAAGAGTATAACTATGCATATTTCTACATATATATATATAATATTGTATATTAATATATATATATATATGTATGCTGTTTATTATGTTGATATATAATATTAGCCTGCAAACACATGTTTAAAAACTTATTGCTACTCTTCTTTGCTGCTTTGTTGGTGGTACTTAAAGAAAGACAATAAATATATTAAAGCTGAGAAGACTTCAGCAGGACAAACTCTGTTTATTATTTTTTATTGTTTTGACTGCACTTAAACCCTACTATAATATTCTTATACATATTCTTATACTTTTTAATCTATTATTATTAAATATTATATCAGGCTTTGTTCATTGAGCTCTTCCTCCTTGTCTATGCAGCAATATTTGCTAGAAAGGGTGTTAAAGGTATTTGTGCTGAGGGCATAGGTGTGTTGTATAAGAGATGAAGAGTTTAAAGAAAATCTGTTTAAACTTGTCGCAATTATTAAAGCTAGCATAGCAGCAGAAGGGGTCTCCAGTACTGGAGATCAGAGGAGACAGCCTCAGCTTTGCTGCAGCATTTTATAAAAACTTTATATAACAAAATCTGCTGCTGTTGTTGCTGCTGCTGCTGCTGCATGCAAGCCCCTGAGAGCTTTACTCTAAATGCATGCAATAATAATAATAATGATGAAGAAGTATTTCTACGCTCTCAGTCTTCAGTCTGTGTATAATAATATGTATTTCTACAAATAAATATATATAAAAATACATATAAGCGTATATAAATATATATATATTAATAATATAAGCTTAAGACATACATTGAACAAGCTAGAGACTCTGCTGTACAGACACCGCATGCAAGACTTTATTATATCCATTTGTTTACACAAATTCTTTTGAAGACAATAAAGAAATAGTATTAGTAAATAAATATATATATATTTAACATTAAATAAAGTTGTTGCACTTAGATAAAAAATATCTTTCTTATATGAGGCCCTCCTCCAGTGCGGGGATATATGTAGGGTCTGTTTGTTGTTAATAACAGCATAATGAAAGTATATTATTATATTTAAATATATTTTTAATATTTTAATGCCCTATTTATTCATAAAAGACGCTTAAATAAGATATAAAGACAGCAAGAAATGAAGAGATTGAGCTGCAGAGGCACCGCCCCCTACTGCCGCTGTCTCGCCTGCAGTATATTGTTAAAGATTATTGTTGTTTGTTTATTTTAAGCTGTTGCTGCTGCATATATCTTTGTTTCTTTTCTTTTTATCTTTTAATTCATTTATTTATTTCATTTTAAACACCTTTAATACTCAGCGAAAATGCTTAACTTCTTCTCTTATGCTGCTGTCGTGCTCGCTGCAGCATCTGCATATACAGCAGAAGGTGAGTACATGTCTTGTCTTTTTTGTCTTTCTTTTTGCTGTGTTTCTTCCTGTTTATTTCGTTTCTTTTACTCTTTAGTCAACCCCTTTCTTCTGCTGTCTCCAGTTGCTGCTGCTGCTGCTGCTGCTGCTGCTGCTGAGGCGAGACCCACAGACACATGGAGAGCATGCCTCTCTGTCTCTAGAGAGTTTTCTTTATTTTTATCTTTGTCTCTTTGTCTCTTCTTCAGTCTTATAATGTCTTGTCTAGTCTTTATTAATTCTTGCAGCTTGTGCTAGAACAGCTGCTGCTGCTGCTTGTTGCTGTTGCTGCTGCTCTTGCTGTTACACCCGCCTGTTGTCTCCGAATGTCTCTTCTTTTTCTGTCTCCTTATCTCTCATTTGCTGCAGCAGCAGCAGCAGCAGCAGCATTTACTGTCTAATATATAACTTGCTGCATACTACCTCTTCTGCATCAGCTGCTGCAGCGCCTCCAACAGCTACTCTCTCCTACACTTTTTTTTTGTCTGTCTGTTTCTGTCTCTTGATTTATCTGTCTTTGTTTATCTTCTGTCTCTGTCTTTAACTGTCTCTGTTTCTGCTGCATTATGTTCCTCTGCATGCACTGTGGGGTGTCTTTGCAGCTCTTTTGCGTGTCTTCTTATTTCGGTTGTCTTTTGCTGTCTCCTTTTATATTTTACTGTCTCCTTTTATCTTTTGCTGTCTTCACGTATATTTGTGTATATTTTATGCGCTGCTGTTTCTCCCTCTGTCTCATCCTCTGTTTCTCTCTCTTTGTTCTTTATCTCTTGTGCAGTTTGCCTGTCTTCCTAAACCCTAAACCCTAGGGTTTAGGGTTTAGGGTTTAGGGTTCAGCGTGTTTCTCTTCTTATCTAATGCTTATAACTTATCTTTCAATTGCTTAGACTTCAGAATTAAAGCCTTTACCCCTTTTTAAGGGTTTATTAGGGTTTATTAGTGTTTATTAGTGTTTATTATGGTTTATTAGGGTTTAGGGTTTAGGGTTTAGGGTTTAGGGTTTAGGGTTTGGTGCGTGTGTGTGTGTGTATCAGGGTTTATAAGCTCTTCTCCTGTGCACTACTCATATCGCTATCGCATATGTGCAAACCCTGATTTGTGTTTTAGCAGCGGAGTGTCTGTCTCCTCTGCTGCACCACTGTCTCCTCCTGCTCGTTTTCTAAGGGGACAGGAGACAGCAGATGCAGCAGCAGCAGCAGCAGCAGCAGCAAGAGGCTCTGCTCTTTTTGCAGGGCAAGGAGACACTGAGCTCCTCGATAAAGTTAGAGCTGTTGTCTCTGAACAACTCGGTGTAGACATCAATAAAGTGCAACCTAGCTCGCACTTCGTTAAGGTAATTATAATAACAATTGCATGCATGTATGCATGCAATTGCATGCAATTGTAATTGCATGCATGCAATTGAATACACTTGCATGCATGCATGCATGCACTTGCATGCATGCGCGCTGTTCACTCTGCGTTGCTGTCTTTTTATTTATTTATTTATATTGTTCTTCGTTTGTTTATCTATTTCATTGCTGTCTCTCTTTTTTCTTGTTATTTATTTATTTATTTATTTAGTTTGTTTGTTTTGTCGTTTGTTTGTATCATTGTCTTTTATCTATTTATTTATTTATTTATATCAATGACCGAAGTGTATATATTAATTATATATCAATTTTATTAATTAATTAATTTAATTAATTAATTGTCTGTTGTTTTATATTTTTATGTCTCTCTTTGTTTTTTGTTTATTTATCTTTTTTGTTTAAATTCTTTTCTTCTTTGTACTTGTCTTATACTTTTTAAATATATATGCATATTAATATATATATATATATATACTTATATATATTTATGTATATTTATATATAAGTATATTTATATATAAGTATATATATATATATATACTGCCCTCCGACTTGTAGATTTTTATATAAATATAAATATATAATGTTGTTTATATTCATTCATTCGCTCTCACTAAGTATAATTGAAAGATAAAAACATAAATAAATAGACAAAGAAACAAACAACTAAATAAATAAATAAATAAATATATATTTTAATTATATTATTCTTCAGGACCTCGAGGCTGACAGCTTAGACAGCGTAGAGTTGGTGATGTCGCTTGAAGAGAAATTCGGAGTGTCTATACCCGATGAAGATGCAACAAAAATTACAACTGTGCAGGAAGCTGTCGATTATATTCAGAAACACAAGTCAGAAACTATCAATTCATCCATGCATGCATGCATGCATCCATGCATGCATGCATGCAGGCGTTCTTGTATGCGTTCTTGTATGCATGCGTTCTTGTATTCATTGTTGCATGCGTGCATGCATGCATGCATGCATGCACGGTGTTTTAGGGTTTAGGGTTTAGGGTTTATATTAATGGCTACATGGATTTACTGCTGTTGATTGTTGCGTCTGTTGATACTCCGTATATATATATATATATATATATATACTTATACATATATATATATATGTATGTATGTATA